ATATAAATAACATGTATTTTTTAAACCAATATGAAATTCGATAATTTAATGAATTATATTTTATTATTATTTATTATTTAATGAATTATACTTTAAATCATTTATGTTTCTGGTCAAATTAGTAGGTCTCTGAAAAGAATTATGTAAAAATGGTCTTTTAGTGATTTATTATAAATATGGTATTTCTAAACGTGCATAAAATAGTATTTTAGAATGATTAATATCCCCCAAATTTTTAACTAAGTTTATTATGCTTAATAACAAAGTTAATAAGTTTTTAAATTTTCCAGAACACTTAATTTTTATATCGTATTTTAGATATACTAGTGCTTAATCTATGCTCTTAAACCTTTTCCGTGGGTTAAGTTTATGACTTAAGGATTTAAAATCCTCTAAATTCTCTAAAAGTGATTTCTTCGAAACAATAATGCGCATTTGAAAAACAGAAAAATTCTTACAATAGTATTTAAACAGTCAAATGGTAAATATTCACATTAGATTTGACCAAATAATTGTAGACACCTAGTTTCTTCAACATAAAATAAACTATAAGGCAAATCGCTTTAGATATCGAAATAGAAACTGCTATTAGTGTTACCAATGGGGCAGATACTATATCTAAAGTTTTTTTTCTGTGAATTACAAAATCTAGATCATTTTTGAACTGATCGTAAAGTGTACTGTATAGTAACATTTATTTCTTTATTTAATTTTTGTTTTTATGTATATTGTACCTTTGGTAAATTAATGGTTTTTTATATGACTGATTTAACCTTCAAATAAGTTTATCTAAAGCAGATTAAAAGTGTTCATTGTAAGTAAAACTTACTTACGAGACCTTAATAATTATAAAATTTAAACAAATACATTATTTATCGATTTGTCAATTCTTAAATACCACCCATATAGACATATTGTGAAAATTTAGTTTAATATTTTTATATTCAAATAGCTCTTTCTTCTTGGACTTTCAAATCAAAACAGGTCCTAAAGTGTTACGAGCTCTTGCAATCACTTGCAGCTTAAAATAAGGTAAGCCTTTACTGTTCCGGGCCACAGGGGAGTTTTGGGAAATGAAAAAGCTAGCTGAAAGAGCTAGCCAGAACTGCATCAAAAACTGCTTTTATAGGGCCTCAACTCTTCTGTGGAATAAACTGGGCCAGTACAAAATATATTATCAAGGAAAGGGAAAATCAAATGCGGCTGGAGTACTGGGCAAACTTTCCAGGACTCAGACAAAGCAAAGCACTGATAACACCGTATTTCTACAAAGACAATCTTAAATTCTCAAAATGTAATTTGAGGTTGATAACGGGTTTCATTACAGGTCATTATAATCTGAAATATCATCTTCATAAACTACAATTATCTGCTAACTCGGAATGCAGATTATGCCTCGAAGATGAGGAAACGATCATGCACATTCTTTGTGACTGTGCAGCTTTAATAACGCACAGGAGAAACCTCTTTCATATGGAATTTCTGTCACCAGAGCAGATTAAGAGCTCTTCTCTAGATTTAGTTCTAGATTTTGGTCACAAAGCTCTAAAGGGGTTTATGTAATCAATAGTGAAATTGGTACAATAGGACTTTTCTGGCCGCAGTACCGGCTGTTGGGCAATTTTCACGTCTACTTTTAATAATAATAATAATAAATTATATTCAAATAAATTCGATCAACATTTTGCAAGATGCTTAGTATCAAAATTTAAAATTAAATGTTGTTATAAGTTTTAATATCAAGCATTCGTAGCAAAAAAATGTATCTGAACCATTAGCATTCTGAGAATGGACCCAAAACGATATTTTTAATTTTTTGGATCAAAATATAAATTACTTTATTTTTACTTTGCTAACTTTACTTTACTTTTTATTACTTTGCTAGTATATATCAAAATATTGCATAAAATTTCGGATGTCGTCTTTTTATCGAAGAAACTTCTAATATTGTAAAGTAAAAATATCATCTTTTTACACTATGTTTGTGAAGAGACTCATATTAACTATCAACCTTAAAGTGAAAGAAAGAAAAGATTGAGGCTTTAGATTATCTCTGTTAAATAAGAAATTAAAATGCTTTAAATAAGCAGTGAAACTCATTTTGAATATGAGCACTTCATGCCACTGTGCCACCGCTGAATTGCTAATTTGAAAAGCACTTTTACAGCTCCAAGAGCGGTGCATTCGAGAATATAAAATACAATACAGAGCACACAAAGTCAACTGAGGTGTGCATTTTTCAAAAGCAAAACGAAAAGCAAAAAAGTACTACCAAGAAATGCAGCGCTGCTTGATTTAAATCCGCAGTAAAAGCCACAACTACAAAATATGCTTAAGCAAAATATCAAGCTTGCTAGCTTGTTTGTCCATATCGGACTTTGAGTGTAGATGGAGAAATGCAGGGAACCGGTTTTTTGCGGTTTCCACTAGCCAACGCGAGACTGTAGAATTTCTATTAATTCAGTATCAATTTTTAATAAAATACACCAGCAAACGCAACAGCTTAACACATTTCAGTCATACGAGTATCGTATCGTAGTCTTGTTTATCTGTCTTAATTAATCCACGTATAGTACAATATAGGACAAAATTAGAACAATGTAGAATTCTTCAACCAATTCAAGCGTTGCGTGCAAGACGGATTTGCAATTTAAGAAACATTAAAAAATCTGTGCTTTTTTTACAATATTTGCTTAATAACCTGGTCCACTTTTTGACCTATTCCAATTACTAGAACTGGAAATATTAAAAATGGAAATTTATTGTAGCTTAGAACGGAGCTGTAAACTGAATTATACAGTTTACATTCTTATGAAATTTTGTTAAATTGTATTTAAATTAAATATTCTCCCACACGTGTATTCAAAAAGCGAACACCATTTGTAAATTAAATATTTTAGATTAAAAAAATGTCAACTGGTATTTCATTCGGTATTGCAAGAACAGTATAAACTCCCTCTTTGTAGAACAGAATTTTGAAAAATGAATGTAAATTATTTGAAAAAAAAAATAAAAATATTCTAATACTATAACAGAAAGTAGTATCACAATACGATATAATTCGATCCAGAATTTTTTTTGATCTAAGATAGTGAAATAGAATTTGATTGGGAATAAGTGTGCTTTAAATAACATAGATGGAAACTAGTATTTAATAAAATAAATAGATATTAAAAATATTACACTTCTTTCACGATTTTTTTATATAAAGAGTTATGTATAAAGGGAAATATAACATATAAAATTGCTTCGTTATATACGATATAACAAAGCTATTTTATAAAGCGGATCCTTTATCAAACGCTAAACGTATTATGATATAATTGAACTTTCTTTAGTTTTCCTTAAACAAACGATATTTTAGTATATAGAAAAACCATTGCATCTATAAAAGGAAAACCATTGCAATTATATTATTGTGACATTTAGTATGAAAATGTTTTAACGTCATATTTATTTCAAAATGAAAGAGTAATGCAATCCGTCAATTCTGATCACACAGCCCAACTATCACCAAATTTTTTGGCATGGAGTTAAAACTATGCAAGTGAAAGATAAGTGATAGTAACTGAACAGTACCACGAGTCAAACAATGCCACTCGTTTTGGGTTTGTCCTGTGAAGTTTTTTCAAGCTTGTAAAATTATGATGTAAGTTTGCCACCAAGATCATGCGATTTTTCACAATTGGACTTTTTTGTGGTATTACGCAAATGTTCGTATTTATAGAAACAATTTTCAAACTTTTAACGTTTTGAAAACACAAATCCATTAAGAGACCAATAAGTCAAAAGATATTATGAGAATTTATATAATATGCGTGTCAACAACCGTAGAATAGTAGCAAGAAAAAGAGTTGATTGCAGAAAGATTATGTGACAGTGATGTGTCCTTAACAGATTATGTTAGTATACATTAATGATTTTGAACAAATTCTATTTAAGACGTCGATAATTTTACTCATTCTTTTAAATTATTAAGATCCATATAATCAATTATTATTGCAAAACATATTAGGTTTTACCATCACTTAAATTTTAATAAATGTCTTCTTAGAAAATAACATTTCATTGTTGAACGTTGTATCTCTACGAATAATACAGAAATCAAATCATGATAAGACTAAAATTCATTAAGTGTCGTTTACACAATAAAGATTTTCTGAAAACAAACGAAGTTTCTATTACGCAAAAAATGCATGCAAATTATGTTATTTCTTGGACGTTTCATGGTATGTAAACATATTAGGAGAGCGATCAAAATTGCTAAAAAAACCCCAAAATTAAAAGGACGAAACTTGATTGCACACTTCCTAAACCTACAAAAACAGCCGAACAAGAATTTTCACTCGTCTTCAATGAAGATCAACTTTCCGAAAATTTTTCGTGAATAAAGATAAAAAGACACATACAAACACCCATATATTTATATGTGTCGTCTTCACTACGCCGATCTAGTTACGAAATGTATCAATTTAGGACCTGACTATAATATATGTAATTGTTAGAATTTCTTCTGAATCAAATGCGAAAGGTTTTTGTCCTGTAAATATTAATTTTATAAACAAGAATATACTATTGTATAGGTCAAATTAGGTTAAGAAGGCGCGAAGAATTTGATGGCCTCAAGATTGTCAGTTGAACGAGCTTCACTAATTATTGTAAAATATATTATTGGGAAAACATTAGGTAATATCGATGTAATTTGAAAAGCACAGAAAATAACTCTAATCTAAAGTAAGGACACTCAAGTTCCACCTCGTCATTCCACTGCCTTCCTGCACAAGTCTAACCCTACATAACCTGTTGTTCATTATAAGTTTTCACCACTCCGGTGGAGAACAAATCTTTTTGGACTTTTGTCCGAATGGCATTCGCAGCACGGCAGCATCGCTTGACATAATAAGAGAATCCGAATTACAATAACAAAAACGGCAACAATAGCGTAAACCAAACAATTGCAGATGAGCATTTGTCAAATACAACAAAAAAGTGTTTATTACCTTCTGAAACAGCGGCGTTGGTGGTATACCTTTATCGGTTTACGTGTGTTTTTGTATGTATATGTGTATATGCAAAACAATTTTTTTTCTCTTGTAATTCGGAATTTTGGTCTTCTTAAATTTGTTGTTTATGTTGTCTTTTGTTTAAAAAAATTCCGGCAGTTGTGCGTGCGCTTATCCTGTTTATTATTTTTTGGATTTATTAAAATTTAAATTCATTTGTTATTTATTTATTTTGCACATTGCTTTTTTAGAAAGCGAGACCAGCACCAGCAGCAGCAGCACGAAACACAAAAAAAAACAATTAGGGATATAAACAAAAACATCAACTGGCAGCACCAAGAATGTTACAATCAAAATTTTTATTTCTGCGGCTAATTTTCGCCCCGCTTTCTATTGCGCAAAGAGACTTAAACGCGGAAATTATCAACTGCTTCAATCAGGAAAATCACTTAATTTGAATTTTTCACTACGCTATTTACATGCTCCCTGTGCCCTAAATGCATACCGCGTGCACCCCTTCTTTTTCCACTTTCCTCGTTCACACGCGTAAAACTGAATTAAACCACAAAATCTTAGCAAAAAAAAAAAAAATTATAATAAAACCGTCTTAATCATACGTTTGTTATACTTTGGTTTTGTTTACAAATTCAATGTAATTAAATATTTTTTTAAACAGCATTCATATATTACTTTTATGTGAAAATTATCCTTTTGTTGACTACTCGTTTACGTTTACCAATTTCCTAAAATTATTTATGCTTCTCGATTCGAGTACGCACATACAAACAAATGTTAACTTTCTTCCGCCACGCAACACAACTGACAAGGAACGAATGTCAACTAAATGAGAATTTAACAAAATCGCTTCTTCAGCTTAGTGTTGCCAATCATATGATTTGGTTTACATTTCATACCGCCATCTGACGTGATAAATAAAGTTGCATTTGATTGCATACAGAGTTATATTATATATTAATCTAAAAATAAAATTTATAAAGAAATAAAAAATACATATATAAAATATTTAACTTTTTATTGGTAATTTAAGACATTGTTGAATAAAATACTATTACTATACATATTACAATACATATATAATATATATCATATTTAATTTTAATGAAATTATGTAGTAAATTTCTACTACATAATTTAAATAAAGTAAGAGAGAAAGTAAGTAAGAAATTTTTGTATAAAATATTTAATTTTTTGCTGTTTTAAAATATTATTTAATAATATTCCATTACTATACTTTATGATATACATTTCACTTTAATGAATTTTTGTTGAAATATGTATATGTGTATATATGTACAAATAAATATATATATTTTACTTTTAAGAAAATATTAAATAAATTAAGTAATCTGTTAAATTTTTAACTAATAACTAATTTATTTTAAAATACATTATTTTATATATGTTTTTTTATAAATGTCTTTTATTAAAACATACCTTATAATCAAAAATGAACGAGAATTTAAAATTTTTGAATTCCTGCTCTTATCCAATCGGTAATTTTTTTTATTTTCATGCTGGTAACACTATTATACACATTCTGTCAAAGTTTAACGCATATCGTACGATTAGTTTTTGTTTGGCGTCTATACAAGAAATTCGAAAAATTTTCGCGTGGCGATTTTTACTTTATGGCCTCTATGGTCTCAAAACGCGCTCCTCGCAATGGCAATTTGAGTCGGGGGCGGGGGAAGAGGAAAAAGTTAAATTGGACAATATCTGGAGAGTACGGTGCTTGGTTGATGATATTGGTGGAGGTTTTGGCCAAAAACTGCAGCTTTCTTTGAATGAAATTCAACTTTTTTGCCACCAGCCGAGAAACGACGCGTTTCAAACCCAAAACATCAGTTAAAATGTGTTCGGCCGATCTATATGAAATGCCCAACAACACTGCGATCTCTCTAAACGGTTCACAGCGATTTTCCAACACGATCTGCTTCACCGCTTCAATGTTTTCTTCAGTCCCAGATGTTGTTGGGCGGCCAGGGATCTAATCATGGTCCAAGCCTGTACGACCGTCTTTGAACTTTTTAAACCATTCATATACTCGTGGTTGCGACGCACAGAAATCACCAAAGGCCTATTTTAACATATTTTAACATATTCAACGTTTCGGCACACTTGAGTTCACTTGCAACACAAAGTTTGATGCACGCACGTTGTTCTAATTTTTGATCCATTATAAAAATCGCGACACGAAAATTTTTAGACTTCTTTGTATAGACACCAAACAAAAACTAATCGATATGCTTTAAACTTTGACAAAATGTGTATAAAAGTATTGCCAGCGTGAAAATAAAAAAAAATTACCGATTAGATAAGCGCGGGAATTCAAAAACAGGCATCTCGTTCTTTTTTGATTAGAAGGTATATATACATTTAAGAAAAAAAAAGACTGTATAACTAATAAAAAAAATTGTATATATAAAAAAGTGCTGTGAAATTTTTTGTTAAGCATATAATAATCTGATAATCATTCTGACTACACCTATATATACAATAATATTTTTCTCTTAAAAATATAAGAAGATATTCGTTGTTAGTTCTGCATTTTATTATATATTATTTATTATATATTATTTTCAAGAATTCATTGTAACTGCTGCTGTTGCTACTACTATTTTCAGCATCAAGTATATCAACAACTATTATAAAGACATGGTTTTATATTATTTATCTGTGAAAATTGACATGGTAATATAGAGTAAATATGAGTGAAAGAAAATAATAAATTATTATATATTTAAATTTGTTATTTTTGATTTAAAGAAACATAAAATTTTATTCTTATTCACTTAAACTTTTATTAATGTCCGGTACGTATATGACACTAAGTATTAACATTCTTAATCCATTCAACGTTTCTCCTAAAAGTATACACATTATTTTATAAAAGTTCGAATATCAGATGAAACCAGCCTTTTCTATGTTTTATCTTCGAATTATATTTAATATCTCATGGTAATTCATCGCCACTATCTACTGAAAAATCTTTTAACTTTTATTTAATTCCAAAATGCTTTTAAATTCTTCAATGTGTAACGGTTTTAAGCACTTAATGAACCATTTTTCCGTCTGTCCGTCCATTAAACGTTATTTTGAAATGAAATTTAAAAATTTGTGATAATTAAATATATTTACAATATTTAAAGCTACTATTGGTCCATGGGTGGTTGGTTGCAGTGGCAGGCCATTAGATAACTTCAAATGTACCTCAATTAGCGATTTTTCGCCGTTTTGATACCACATTCTTCGCAAGAATCCTAGTATAGAAGAGAAGAGACAAAATCCATCCCGCCGAATTTTGGTAATTTAATAGGTCTTTCATCTTCATCGTTGCATAGTCTGATAAACTATCACTGGACGCTAAAGCCGGACATTCACAGAAAAAATGTATTATTGTTTCTTTCTCCTACGGGTTTCCACAACTTCTGCAGTAATGGTTATGCGGAATACGCAATTTCTCTTAGTGGGTTCCTACACACCAATTACCAGTAAGAACTGGTAACACTGCCTTGCAGTGTTCAAGCGATCTCTTTTGATGAGTTCTGAGGATTTATTTTGTTATAGGTGGGCCATTTTAACTTTGGTCCTGAATATGAGACAGAATGTTTAAAGGACAGAATGTTTGATTTTGTATTTATGATCAAGACCTTAAAACACAACATTGAAAATAATAAGCTGTTTTTAATATCAAAATATTTTTAATAATTTTTTCATCGACCGACATCAAATGTTTATAAAAATTGAAAGAAACAAATATTTTGATCACATTTTTGTAATTAAAACCAAAAATATAGGTTTGCGGGGATCTTACGTCATCGTAGCAGCTCATTTAAAAAACATCACACCGGATATTTAAATACATATATCTATATTTATATATATGTATATATTGGCCGTTGTTCAGGGGTCGTTGCAATATAATTTTTATTTTCTGGATGGATTTTGTTTGTTGTTTATTTAAAAGAAAATTCAAAAAGAAAAAGAAATTTATATAATTATAATATATTATTAGTTTAATAATTTGTTCAATGTAATTGTGTAAGATTTTGTGTTTTGATAATTTGTGCAGACGTTGAGTTTATACTCTCGAACGGACGCCACTCCTCGTGGTAGTTCTTGCAGTAGCAGAAAACGTCGTTAGCTTTGAGAGTTACTCAACAAGTCATATGTGTTCTATGTTGCGTGCTTGTATAAATAAGCATCGACCGAAGCTTTTCATGTAGCGCATCAATGCATTTGCCATTCGTATTTTCGGTACTTGTTGTATTTTATTACTGTTGTCCTCCTAGGTGTAATTTCTGTGCTTTGTGTTTTGTTCAACAAAAGCTCTCATGCTTTGACGTTTCTTGTATTGTTGACAAACGTGTTTTTTTTTAATTGGTGCCGATGGTGTTTGTTTTTACTATTTATATTTATTTATTAATAAAAAATCATAATAATAAAATTATAAAATAAAAAAATAAAATAAATATTAAACAATAAATAAAATAAATATATAAATAGTGAATAAATAAGGAGTGTATATTCTTCACTTATTGAAATACATTTCTTTATTTGTTGTTAATTGTGATAGTAATTTCAGATGTACTCCGTATGTTACCTTTGCAGATACGGTGTGGTACTTGTAAGTTTTTTTTAATACAAAATATTTATTAAATAAAACTAACCTATTTTATTTTAGATTATATTGAAATTCCACAATGAGTGAAATTAAATTATGTGTTGAGTGTTAAACGTAGTTTATTGTGATGTGTAACTAAAACGTCTTTTGTAGTTACTAGTCTCGAGTTGTTGTTTTTATTTTCACGATATGATTAGACTTGTGAAACCGCTAGACCACTTTTTTGAATAATTTTCAAGTTGTGTTAAAGCTAGTAAGGTTTTGATTTTGAAGTCAATAATTTGAATCCTTTTGAAAATTATTCTTTCAGACACTACCAGTACTACAGTATAGTTCTCAGATTTTTATGCACCAATTCAAGCGCAGGAAGTGAGTAAACTATAGATTGTTTGTTTTGTCTGTGGACGTACCGAGTCAACTGTAGCATTTATAGAAAATGGGAATTCTTCGGAGGAGATATATGCTGACATCGATGTTATTATTTCTGATTGTAAGATGAAATCGTTGATTGGATACTACAATATTATAATCATAGCCATCAGCAATACAAACTGTTGACGAATCAACCAAAAATTAAGAATTAGGTCATAAGTTAATCGCTCGCACCTGTTGCTTAGTAATTCATTTAAGTAATTATTGTATATCTTGCACTATAAAATTAAGTATGGTTGCATTTTCCTTTGTATAAAAGACGAATAATTTAAAATAAAATCAGTTATTGACTTACAATTGATGCCTCATCAATCATATATTGTTTCCCCCACCAATGGTAAGGAACATATATATTGTTACTGAACATCATTGTTCACAAACTTTAGCAAAATCAGTAATTTCTTTTGACTATTTTCATCAATTGTTGTTGCAGTCAGGTTATTTATTTGAACGATTATTGGTCTTATAAACTAACTTCAAGTCGTAGCAATATTCAAGAATTCTAACACAAAAAATGAATAACACTAATTACTGCGGATGTAAATGTTGCAGAAAATTGAATTCAGTATATGTATTTACCTTTTCAATTAGCACCTTCAGAGCAGCTACATCAGTGAGAAGAAAATTAGCAACATCCGAGGTTATGTGTAACTTATCAAAACTTATCAAAACCGTAATTTACTGTTCAGTAGTACCAACTCTCTTTCAATTATCCTTCGATTAAATTGGAAATACAAAGTTACAGGAGTGGAGATGCTTAAACCAACTTCGTACCATTCGTACCAAACAAACTACGTTATTATACACCCAGCAATAATTATTGTACCAATAATACAGAAATTAGCTCAGTATTTATTTTTTTTACTTTTACTAAGAAAAATAATAATAATTAAACACAAATTAGTTTTATGTTTAAACAATTCTTGTTTATTAATTTTTAAAATTTTTCATGTGGCTATTAAAAGTAAAGCATATAGAACTTTTTTCAGTTAGTTTTAATATTCTGAGTTTCTGTTGTTATAAATAAATAAATTTTTCCAAATCTGAGGAAAGTTTTTAGGATACCATCATCAGTAAACCACACCTAGATATTGTTTATGTATTGAAATATACTTATTTGGCTAAAATTTATCAGGAAGGAGGACTTTCAACATATTAATTACATTGCTATCTTCTTTTTGCTTATTTTCTATGTTTTCTATTTCTGCTTGTATGTAAACTATTCATTTTATTTATTTTTATATTATATTTATAGTATTCATTGTATTCTTGTTCATATTTTTCTACTTATATTTTGTAGTTTTATTTTTAAAAATTTATTAAATATTTAACTACAATAAAAAGGCCAATATGAATTTCTATGTTTCATTTTCTATGTTATTTCATAATAAGATTTTTTGAATAATTTTTTTTTGTTTTCGAACCAATTCGCATGGACGTAATTTTCATTTATAACAATACTTTATAATTATATTACAAAAAATATAACAAAAATTTTAAATTTATTGGAGCATATAAATATCAATATATATATATATATGAATACTTCATAGTTTGAAAAAATAAAATAGTAATAATAACAATAATACGATATAAAATGTTTGTTGCGCTATGATTATTTCACAGCATTATATTCTCAATCTTTAAAATGGTCATTTTAAAATGCTGTACTTAGCTGTTTCGAAATTATGTAAATGGTCTGATAGTACAAAACAAAGTATAGAGAAAAAACACATGGTCCTGATCATTTCTAGTACTACCATGCAAAATCTTCACAAATTTGAGCATAATAAAATGGGAAATAAATAAATTAAAACTAATTTAACGTTTTCGTTTTTTAAATCGTTATTTATATGATAGGGCCTTTGTTATGTAACATTACGTTTGTGGTTAAAGACACGAAATATTCGAATTGAAAAAAAATTCACTACATCATTTGCTAATATATTTAAGTTATACAAATATATCAAAATCAAACCACATATGAATTGCTGTACTAAATTCAATTCATATTAATTGCCAAGCAAACGTTACTCACACAAGCAGTTTATTCAAGTTAACGATATATATGTATATACAAAACCCTAGCAAACAGTAGAAAAAATTTTGAGAAAAAAGAATAATATATCTATATGTAATATAATAAGTATGGGATGAACATATATATTTTCCTATGTGAACAGTACTTGCAACACAAATAACATTAGAAATTATTTTTAAAGTATTGTTCTCATATCAAGTTTGCAAAAAGACTGAAGAATTCAACATAAAACTTCACCCCTCATATCAGAATAAATTCAACATCTTTAGATATTGCATTGAAACTCAAATTCAGTATCATAAAAGTTTTAATTTTGTTCTTGTTAATATAATAAGATAAAAATAACACTATTCAGAACCTTTCAAAAAGTACAGATTGCAAAAACATCGAATTAAGTAATTGTAAATATGCTTGGAAAACTAGTTTACGCTCCAAAACTACTGTTTTCGTTGTTGTAATCTATACAATTCTACCATTCTAACGTACGAAGATACTCTGCAAAAAAAAGATGAGCGTAACTTTTTCCTAGCAGATTAGTAGTTTCAGAATTTAGTCTACGCCACTTCTAAAACTTATCACACAAGCACTCATTACCGACGAACAAATCATCGAAATTGAAATATCAGTGCCTAACGGATAAGTATGAAACTTTCAACTAAGCTTCTAAGCAATACTTTTTCAAAAGGAGGAATCTCAGTCTTAGCAGAAGTTGGATTACATCACTTTGCCATACATGCGCAAAGCTCTCTTATAAATTCAAATCAAATTATTAAATATTCCTAAATTCCGTGAGTAACTCAAGTCACATCCAAATCCTCATATTCGACATTTATCTTCTGCAACTGTAATAAGCCGCCTTGAAAGAAAAACATTGATAAGCATGAACACCCTAGCTCAGGGCTGTCCAAAGCACGATCCGCGACATATTTGTGCGGCCCGCAACATGTTTTAAATCTACGACAATTACTAAAATATTCTTTTGATGTACTGGTAAAAGTACATTATTTTATTTTTATGGTATACCAAATAAATGAAATTAAATTAATAAATTAATAAAACTAAATTTAACATTATAACAGAATTTTATTTTTGGTGGAAAACAACTCTGAACGTATGTATTTGTTTCTGCGGCCCTCCAATTTGTACAGCGATTTGTATTGGCCCGTGATCGTATCTGGTGTGGACAGCCCTGCCCTAGCTCAATAGTAAACATGTTAGTTTTTTTAAGATTCGCACAGTTATTGTTAATTTCTATTTAGAAGGATTCAAAAAAAGGATAGAAGGATAAAAAAATTGTTAAATATAAAAAAAAAAATAGTTTTTTAATTGTTTGTATTATACTTTCTATAGTATTGGATCAATACAATACTGTATTGACTACAGTATAACCAGCGACTTTGCTTAACCAAAGCATAGGTCACAAGTTTTCTATTTTGCCCGTTTAGTCATTTAGAATTTTTTCTGTTTAAAGTTTTAAATCAACTCTCGATTTTCTTCGCTCAGCGCAGTTAAATTTCAAAATATTTTTTTAAATAAAAATTACATTATTAGTTTTTAATTTATGAATTATTTAAAATTAATTTAATTTAATGTTTAATTAATTTTATAGCTATAAAAAAGCTATATAATTTATATAAAATTAAAATGAAATATTTTTTGAATATAAAAAAATTAAATAAAATTCATAATTTATATCCATATTATGTAAAATGAAAAAAGAAGTAAAAAAAAAGTTTTTTATAATTTTGTTTATGTATTTATTTTTCGTTTTCGAATAAAAGTTTCACAATACTTGGAATTTGGAATTAACAATATTATTTTAAATCAATAAAACAAAATTGTAAATTAAATGTTTTTCTCGTAGCAATTCGTATAAAATAAAAATAAAAATATAACCACAATTTTATATTCTTACAACCTTAGATTTTCGTTAAACTCGTACATTAATTTTGATGTGCCACATAATATGCATACATACACTTGCAGGTTATGCGGATTATCTTATATATGTATATGTTAAATACTACATAAATACTAACAAAATTAGTCCAGCATTGTATAATGTTTAACAGAATTTGTTTAAAATCATGCCTGTCAACTAAATATACACAGACACAATCAAATATATATAACAAACTTAGTGACATATCATATGATTGTATATATGTATATATAACTGTGTTTAAAGCGCGAAAGGATACTAACTTAAAGTCGTATACATGCACATACATGAGTCGCAATCAAATGTTAACAATAAATTTCGCGATAACAAACTTAGAAGTACTAACATATAAAAATATTTCCTTATTTCGTGTTTCAGTTTTAGCTTTTTTCTCTTGTTTCTTATCTCTTATCTCTTTTTGCAACTTGCAACTTGTAAACCATTTTTTTGCTTTTTTTTTATTCTTAATTTATATATTCACTTAGGTGATCGAGCCTTGCTTATGTTTTGTTTCTCGGCTTCGGTAAATTCTAAAATGCTTTCGATGACTTGCAGGTGTCCTTGTGAGTTTTCCTTGTCAGTTAGAAAATAGTATATTGCACTCTTCAAGAATTGCAGTGTGACTTCTGGATCCACGGGGCAGCGGGATTTTTGAGCCTCCAATAAACGACGATAGATGGTCTGTGAAGTGTGAAAAAATTGGGAAGGGAAAATATATAGTAAATGTGCAATAATCAACATTAAAAAGTTAAAGCGTAAAAACTTTAAAAGAACATATTATATAACTATATATTATATCAAAATAAATTTAAAAAATAAATAAAATGTTTTCTTATCAATATTACAAAATATAATTTATAAAAACATAAATAATACAAATTGTTTATTTACATATCTTTTAATGTGCTTATATACGAACTTATATGAACCTACGTACGAGTAGTTAAGGATTAGTTGGAAAAATGTTAATAAAACATTTAGATTTATGTATACAGTTTACAAATGATATAATGATAATGGTACAAGTATTCAATGTGAGTGGTAGAGTGGTACAGTGGGAGGAGGGTTTGAGATATGTCTAGTATATTTTGTACTGTGTCGGTTTAATGATTTGTTGGAGCTTTAATTTTTTTAAACTAAAGTTTGAGTGGAAAGCATGCTAACGATAGTTAGGATTATTTACTTTTACATATATATAAAAATCTATTTATTTAGTTAAATAAAAATATATATGTATATTTATGAGGAAGATAGATATTTTTAGTACTTATTTATATATATTTATATATATATACTCATCAACACCTAATTGTTAAGTAAACATTTATTAAATTAAGGTAAGTAAAAAATAACAATATCATGTTTTTCGAAAAAAAATTAAATTACTTTACATACCTCCTTGTTCCTTTTTATATAAGTAGTAGCTATAATAGTTTTAGTAACCAAAATAATTTTAAGAAAAAACTAAAATGAATATTTTAACTTAATTTGTTTATTGTATATATAATAAAAAAACAATGGGAATCAGAAAGACATAAATTGAATAAAATAATGGTATTCGTCATACGGATATATACAAACATATACAATATGTGGGTCATTAAATAATGACTAGAATGAGTTAAATAACTGGAGTAAACTTTGTATATACTAAGGCAGAGAATTAAAAACCAAAGTCAAGCGTTTGGGTGAAATATAACTTAACTGCAATCAACATATATTTAACCCCTGCCCAAACTAACTTGAAAGCTTTACATACGTTGATACATTAGAAGTGAAACGCAAAGTGAAGTTTTATAAGTTCCATATAGTGACTAGGACGTATGTGACATTATAATTTTTCATTGTAATTCGTAAATGATTGTTTATTCAAATTTAAAGCAATTAGTTTGAAAAATTTAACCCCTCTGTAAAACTATATTTATACATATGCATTTTATATTCATTACAACTATTGAATAAAAAAATTTTAAAAGTGCTGAAATAATATAAAAGCTCTGACTACGGGTATACACACATAAAATTTTTATAACAAATAACTATTTTAAAAAGTTTACAGAAACGTTTTTGTTTCTCAATACAATTGAAAAATGAAATCGGCAACGGAATCTCTCACCAAAAGTCGATTCAAATCATTGCATATATTTTATAATCTATCTATAACACTTGTATAGTTGCTGTATTCACAACCAAACAAATCATTTTGTTTTTGATACTAATAATAGATTAAACCAATTTTTCAAAATCTTCGCCGTCATTTAAGGACGTAGTCTCATTTATTCACTATGTTTGCTAACCCTAAATAAAATTTTCTTCCTCATTTTTAAGTAGCAATTTACATATTATATATTGCAAATTATATTGCAAATTATCTATAAAATTTTAATTCAATGGAAATTCACCTGTTCAATTTTTTAGAAATTTTTATTCTTTTTTCAGAGGTCTTTGATTTAGATATCCTAATAAATTTTTCAAATATGTTCTTTAATTTAAATATATTATAGGTAATATATTTCTGTCCAATTTTCTAATAGTTTAATACGAATATCTATGCTACGAATCAGAGGTCTTTGATTTAGATATCCTAATAATTTTTTCAAATATGTTCTCTAATTTAAATATATTATAATATATTTTTATGCAATTTTGTAATGGTTATATACGAGTATCTAACATATGCTAGGAACAAGGGAAATATTATAGCGTACAATTTATATATATATTAATGTTGTTTTATTTAGAGATCCTTTATAACATACATTAAGTACTAAATTATCATTCGTTTCAACTTAATCCGTTTATTCTCTAACATAATAGATAAATTAAAACACATTGCTAAATACAGGAAAGAAAATTATATTATATCTAATACGAAGGTGGATTATTGGGGAAAGAAATTACATAGGATTTCTTAGACACAAAAAGTAGCCGTAAAAATACGGATATCTAATGACATTTTCAAAAAAAAATTTTTATGTGCAAGTAAGGAATCGGAAGAAGGTATTAAGAAGTGGCTTTTGAAAGACTATAAGCATATGAAACCTATAAAGAAGAGATCTTAAAAAAAGAAGAGATCATATCTTCGAAATGTAAAAAATTAGTGTGTTAACTATGAAATCGTAGTAAATGCATTAGATGAGAGTCCATATAAGCCTAAGTCTCTATAAGATAGACCTCAGAGGACTCAATTGAATCAATGAATTTATGCAACCTCGCGAATTTTGTAAAAAATCAAGTCTGCTACATGGCACATTTAAACAAATTCTTATCAAAAAGTCACATCTATTTATATTTTAACTAATACAGTTGCCGGTTGAATAATGGAATTTATCTATTATATTTTTAAATTGAAGCAAACAGCAAACGTTTTCAGTTGAAACCTATCATAGACTGTAAATGTTTCACATTAATGATTTTAACAAGTTTAGCATCTATAGACAAATTGAGTTGCGGATTAGTCTATTTATGATCTGAATTTTCTCGATCTTACTTAAATGGTAAATGGTATCTCTGTTCATCCAATCATGTGAATTTATGTCTGCCACTGTCGAGTGTGTATACCTTCTGCTCAAAAAGATTCCGGACTATTTTGTTTGTTAACTACTCCTTAAGTAATAGACCTTTTTCAAACTTTTTTTTTATGTTGGTACACCCTTTCTTGACATATGGTACAAATTTGAGAGCCATCTGTCAATTAGTTTGTTTACAGCAGCTGTTAATGTGAGACTACCTAAAGCGCATTTAGCGATTTTTACTATGGAAACTACTATGTTTTTACTATGTACTCGATTTTTTGACCAATCACGGCACCATTGTGATTGTTGGCAACAATCACGATTAATGCAAGATAAAAGAAACCTTAATAATGCCACTCAAAAATTAAGAAGAGAAATCAGTAATTTTAAAAATGAAAATGTTAAGAAATATCTTACAAACTTGACATATGATAGCAAAACTAACTATTCTCTCTGGAAAGCTATGAAAAAATATAAAAGATCGATCACTCATAATCCTCCATTAAAAAAAGATAATAATGAATGGGCGAAAAGCAACATTGAAAAGGCACACGTTTTGGCTGAATATTTAAGTAATACCATCAATCAAGAAGAAACCCATCATATAGAGCCAAATAACAATATAGATGATGAAGCTATTTTGCGGATAAAAAATAAAGAAGTAACTGGGGAAGTCAAAAAATTGAAATTAAAGAAATCACCAGGATATGACCTCATAACTAGTGAAGTGTTGAAAAAGCTACCTCCAAAAGGAGTAGCCAAACTTGCACAGATATTTAATGCGAGTATAAAATTAAATCATGTCCCTAGCTATTGGAAAGTTGCTGGAGTGGTGATGGTTCTAAAACCAGATAAGGACCAACATTCTCCAACTTCATATAGACCAATCTCTCTCCTGCCAACCATAGGAAAACTGTTCGAAAAGCTTATCTGTAAAAGACTCGAAAAAGTAGTTTGTCAAAGAAATCTTATCCCAAATCATCAGTTTGGATTTCGGAAAAAACACTCAACAATCGAACAAGTACACAGAGTTACGCACGAAATAAAAAAAGGCTTTAGAAAACAAAGAAACTTGTTCAGCTGTGTTTCTGGATATATCAAAGGCTTTTGACGGGGTTTGGCACTCTGGCCTGATATATAAGTTAAACACTATCCTGCCACAGCAATATTGTAAACTACTGGAATCGTATATTGGTGAAAGGTACTATCGAGTTAAACTACTTGACGCGTATTCGAAATTATATCCTATAAATCGCGGGGTCCCTCAGGGGAGTATACTAGGCCCATTGCTGTACCTGCTGTACACATATGATTTGCCAGTGAACCCAAGATGTATTGTTGGAACTTTTGCAGATGACACGGTATTAATGGCTACAAGTCCAAACAACAAGGTGTCTACCACTAAGCTTCAAATCGCTCTTCAAGAAATTGAACAATGGACAAATAAATGGAAGCTGATAGTAAACAGTTCAAAATCTAATCATGTAGACTTTACTAACAAAAGAGAAAATCAAATTTCATTATTTCTAAATAGCGTAAAAATTCCAGTTGCAAATTCTGCGAAATATCTGGGTATGAGTCTAGATGCCAAACTGAGATGGAAGGTACACGTCAAGAAAAAATTAAATGAGCTAAAAATAAGATACAAAAAGTTAACTTAGCTTATTGGAAGGAGATCTAAATTATCTGAGCAAAACAAGCTTATGATCTATAAACAAGTCTTCAAGCCGGTCTGGCTCTATGGTGTCCAAGTCTGGGGTTGTGCGAAAAAACATATAATAGATATGATGCAAAGATTTCAAAACAAAGCAATCAGGGATGCTGTTAACGCTCCGTGGTACGTTCGAAATTCTAATCTACATCGTGACCTTGAAATACCTACTGTCAAGCAAGAAATTCAGAAGGCTGCTAAAAAACATTATGACAGGCTGAGACAACACTTAAACAGCACCAATCCAGCGCTACTTTGTGATGTCACTCACAGACGCTTATGCCGCTTCAAACCTAATGACCTTTTGAGGCGTTTCAACCAGCAAGGAGATGACTAGTTCGTATTTATATGCTCACCCTAGAGCATATAAGTCATATTGACTAACCTCTTGTTAGTCAATATGACTAGTTATTGTAAATTTAAACTCTTCATTTTGTTTAAATATAAATAAAAAAAAAAAAAAAAAAACGTCACCATTGTCATCGCTCAGGCACCATATTCGCCAGATCTGGCGCCGTGCGACTATTTTCTGTTCCCGAAACTCAAATTGCCACTTTGTGGTAAGCGTTTTGAGTCGATTGAATCGGTAAAAGAGAATTTGCTGAAAAAACTAAAAGCCATACCTTCACGGGCCTACGAAAAGTGTATGGAAGATTGGGTTAAGCGTTGGCATATGTGATCGCTTCAGAAGGAGCACATTTTGAAAGAGATAAAATAAATTTGGAATAAAATTTAAATTTGTGTGTTTTATTTACAAAATCCGAATACTTTTTGAGCAGAAGGTATGACATATTTAATGTCTCTTTAGCATTGAAATTTCTCGATCATATGATACTTACATCTGTGTTAGCAGTTATGTGCACGTATGTCTGGTTATGTTTAGTATGCATAAGAAAAATATAATCTTGTATGACATAGGAAAAAAGATATATAATATATATTATTTTATTTTGAATTCATATGAAAAATATTAATTTTCTGTTTAAACCGCTTGCAGATTGTGGAAACATCATTTAAGCGATACTGTGGCTTAATAATTGTAAGCAAATTTTTAACAGTGACGTATTTAGCGAAGTGGATAAGGATATAGATCGCACATTTGACAATAAAACACATATTACAGAAATTAAGTGAACTGAAACAATATTGTCAGCAAAATATAACCCTACCCCTGACACAATCCAGGCTACCTTTGATTTTGCCAATTTCATTTACGAGGTTGCTGCAATCAAGATTTTTTATTCGACCAAGCAAGCGCTGTACAAGTCTTACTAAAACAAGATAACAGCTGCCGAGGGTTTAACTAATCACACCTCGAACTAGTATCACAAAAAATTAAGTTTATGTTTAAGTTTTCCTAACAAGTTCACACTATCTTATATACCATTAATTATATTTAAAAATGCACATTAAGTTTAGTAATTCTTAAATTTTCGATATAGGGCACTAAAGTGTCACTTACAATTCAAATAGCAGTCAGTATCAAATCAACACTTATAGTATTTATAGTATTAGTTTTTTTTTACATTTCAGCTTTTGTATCGTGAAATGATATGCAAAAAGTTTCTGAGTTATCAATGCTTCTATGCTCTACGTTATCTTTGGAGAACACTTTTTGAGATTGTGGAGTGGTAGTGTTTGATGAACTGCGACTAAAAAATTGATTATATATATACAAATGTACTTAAACTGCATGAACACATGTTATTATGGTTGTGTATGATAGTACATAATATGGTGATTATGATAATATATATGAATATATATCTATGAATATTATGATATTATACATATACTATATATATATATATATATATATATATTAATATATTTGTATCCCCGCACAGAATTGCTATAGAAATGCAAGAATGGTATATGAATAAGACACAGCATAACACCACGATATGAATAGCAGATCACAATGGATATGAAATAAAAATATATAAGAAAAGAAAACATACGATACGACTATATACTATATGAATGTAGAATAAAAAATAAGTACAATTTTTATAAAGAATATTTAACTAACCAATTGAATGTAAATAATTAATTTTTAAATAAATAAATAAATATATATATTATATATATATATATATATATATATAAATAAATAAATAAAATTAAGTACAGTACTGTGTGATTGTTACAAACCTTACGCGCGCCAAGTACCCATAAAGATATTGCCTCTTTTGCAGTAAGGAGAGCATGATTACTGCCGCGTTCATTTCTACATTCTGCTGCCTATAAAATATATTTAATTTGTTTTTCGTTTCTTTTTTTTTGTTGGTTTTGTTTAAACAAACAAAATTTAATTAAATTAATTTAAAAATGGATAATAACGAAGGAAACAGAAGAGGATTAACTCCATAAAAATGCGCATCGAATTCAGTACAACAAAATTTAATAAACAAAATTAAACTAAATTCAATTCAAAGCAAAAAATAATATCCTCTTAAGAAAGACTTTTTATACTATAACAAATTTCAACATTTTCAAACATATAAAAACTTTAATTAATTTAACAAATTTAACGATTTGCTGCAAACTGCGACTTCAAAGGACAAATGAAGATATTTAAATTAAACACTAATTGCTACAAAATGCCAGTGTTTCAAAATTAACGCACTACTTAATTTTATGCTTTGCATGTAGATTATACATATAATATAATTAACGCATATATAATATATATGTTAAATATTTGTTTCACAAATTTATGTATTTATTCAAATCACTATATGTTAGTTAATTCTTATAAAAATTGTTTTCTGCTTAAAACAATAACCATGCAACTTATTTAGTTATAAATGATCTTTTCAGTTTAATATATATTAAAAGTACAACTACTTCACTAATTATTAAAATTTTATTTATTGTAATTTTTTTACTAATTTAACCATGCCCTCCTGTAGTTTTTTGCAATTATATTTTTCAGTGTATATATTGTGTATTCATTATGTAATTCAATAAATGTACAGGGTGTGTTTACTTTCATTTGGATAATTATCTTACTGCCAGGATACTGTTTTATAGACAGGTATGCCGGCCGTGAATCAGGAAAAGAAGATGAAAATATTACTTATATATTGTCATAGCAGTAAGTTAAAGAAAGAAATATACGATGTGGGTTGTAAGTCATCAAATATTATAACTGTGGGTCAGATGTGAGTTATTAACAATTACAGCTGTGGCTCAAGAGGAAGAATAGGAAAATATCATTCATCTACTATTGTTGTTATTACCAATGCCAATTTGAAATGCAAACACGTTAAAGTATATCGGAATATTTACAATTGGTGAAGGCACAATTCCGATTTCCAAGATTTTCAATAGACAAAGAGTTTTAGTAAAAACAGTTATTTTGAACAACTTTTTCGAATTCAGTATACATACGTCAATATAGCTTAATTTAGCAAATATCAAACTTTAAATTTAGAAACTTTTCATGTCATTTGCGAGAAATTCGATATTATCCATACAGGCATCAAAAAGGATAAAATGGTTTCCCGGGTCAAAATCGAATTTTCGTGCAACAGCAGCGTTTCTTGCGAGTCGTACTGCCAGCGATATAACAGTTTTAAATTATTATTGCTACGAATTGTAATATCAAGATTATGATGACGTTAAATGAGTGATGGATGGTAGAGTAAGCTTATATGTGGGGAAGAACTTGTAACAGATTGGTGTAGATATTAAGTTAAGACATCATTCTCAATTTCATTTAATAAGCAATTAAGAGATTGAGGGAGTACATACTTAATGAAATACAGTTGAAATATAGATAAATGAGATATAGATAACTTAATGAAATATAAATAACTGTAAAAAACATTACGGTAGAAAATATTACCATTATGCATAACAAGAATGATGTTAGCTAAAGCTCCTGTGCTATAAGCTTTATTGACAACTGTGATGCAGAAGTCTTTCTCGACTAAGAAAAGCTCACTCATCCTATGCAAACATGAAAACATAAATTTAGAATACTAAAGTTATCATTATCATTATCATTGTATATTGTTCGCAAGATCTATGATACACAGCGCTTAATCGTTCCTATATAAACTTTGTTCTAATATTGACATTCTTTAATAAAATAGTTTTGACGTGTAGCTAACATCTTGAAAATGGATTGAAATAATTCAACGAAAAAGATTGTTTGAAGTTGCATTCACAGGTAGAAGACGTGGATAAAAGCCTTATATGCGATGTGGTAAATAAATTCAAAAAGTTTTAAACAAATTTAATAAATAAGACCGGAGATAGAAACCTGGAATCGATTTTTATGTCAAGCTGAAATTTAGCAACGGTTATGTAACGGCTGGCCGTTATATAGTTAATTAAGTAACTATATAAAACTGAAGAATATAGATTGGAAATATTGTAATTCCTGAATATTCTTAGAATTACTCATTAAAGTGACTTTCACTTTTATGTTTTTAGAAGTAATCGAAATAACTTCCCAGAGCCAATTGTGTATACAAACATAAACTAAGTCCAACTTGACCTTCCTATCAGGACCCCAAAAGTCGTTTACGCAATATTAAATGTTAAGTTTAGTATAAAGCCTTTTTGAGTAGATAAGTCCTTGAGTTTGCTGTCATCAAGTAAAAACTCTTAAAAACTCTTTGACGGCATAAACAAAGTATAATAATCTATGTATAATATGTTTCGATACTCGATAATCTAATAACAATGATACCAAATTAAAGTAAACACACCACATATTAACACTTAGAAATTTTAATTTTAGTTTCAAATTGATCCTTGAACGGTTCTTATTTTATTTAGTATATATATGTATGTTTGTATGTATATAAGTTAAATATGATATTTTTGCACAATTGCATATTTGCTTGCAACATGTAACACTTAAGCTAAATTAAGCTAAGCACTAAACTAACACAAAATGAACATCAAGTACAAAATGTAGTATTATTAACCCTTTTAGTCTATATGATTTTTGAATAAATTAACACATAAAACGAGAAATGTAAACAATATTAAAATTGTTAATCTATTAACTTAGATTGTGTCTATATGAATTTATATGCATGTATATTTAAATGTTTAACATGTGAGTACATAATTAAAATGTCATTTGTATATATTACTATTGTTTCTGTTGTTATTGTTATTATTATTGTTGTTGTTGTTGTTGTTGTTGTTGCAATTGTTGTAATGTAAGCTAAACACAAACAATTTAATTTAAAACAAACGAACAAACAAACAACCAAAAAAAAAAGAAACTCACAATGCAACAAAATGCAAAATGAAAAGAAATATCGAAAATGATATGATAAAGATCTTGAAGAATCTTACGCGTATATTTTCCAACTCGTCCTGTGTTGTTTGTAATTGGATTAATAGCTCGTTGATCGAGACCTTATTAGGTGCTCGGTAAGCCAACTCCAGAGCCTAAAGTATGAAACACATATTAAATTAAATAAAACTCACTTGCGGCATGTATGTGTATTTATAATGATAATTAAAATGAACGCATGCGCATTTATTCTCACTTACCACAATAAATGTCTTGAGTAATTAGAATTTGAACTTGAATTTGAATTTGAATCTGAACTCACCTGATCGGCACGAGCAATACGTTCTGCCTCCTGACCCTGCTGGTACATATGGAGATACATTTTATTTTGCTTCTCCTCCTGCTCGGCCAATTTTCTCTGCAAGTCATCCACCTGTTTTTCCAGCTCGCGTATACGCTCTTTGGCGTGCTCGTAATCGGGTACTAAATCAGCGTAACGTGTATTACAGTCGGCAAGCTTCTGTAAGAGCGCCTCTATCTTGTCGTTGTGTGTACGCTTGATTTCGGAGTTTACATTATCTTGCGAGCGTATCAATTCCTCAATACGATGTTCATACATGCGTATTAATTCTTGACGCTGCAATTCATACTCGTGCGCTGTTGTAGATTCGATGCCGGCTGCTTCATCATTACCACATGCAATGTCATGAGTGATGCCGGTATATGAACCTTCCTTGGAATTAACCGACGACGATGTTAAGTCTTCGAAATGTCCAGAGTCAGCAAATGAGCTTTGCATTTCGGATGACATTATTGCGGTTTGCTGCACTTGTTGGTGATGCGGTTGTGAAGCAAGACTGGAAACATGACGCGGGCTGGACTTTGTAGCATCATCAACCATATCTATTATAGGCGACACATCTTGAGAAGTTTTCAATTCGGCTTCACGTACAGTAACGGCATCACTGGAAGCGGAACGTTCTTCAGGTGAACTAAGCGAAGCTTTAAACAGGCGCAGTTCCACTACTTCACGTGTTAAACGTATTATTTCTGAATCTTTCAATTCTAGTTCAGAGCGTGCAGCTATAAGCAGCTCTTTAAGACGGCGAAGTTGACGTTGAGCACGTTGTGTGGGTGTCAAATAGTCAGGACCCACCTGTCCAGCGTAATTCGAACAGTGCACAACGTACTTCATTCGGCGGCCGCTGAATGTTGTGCCGTTACTAAATTAAATGAATTAAAAGATTTATATTAAATATTATTAAGTATCTTTTGCTTTTTCTTTTATATACAGTTAAAGTAAGTATTAGTAACACTTCAGTTCAATAATGTTCAATAATAGTTCAATAATGTGTGTGACTGACACATAGATGGCGGCACTAATACCTTTTTAGGCTTACTGTCAAAATCATATGTTAATCCGACCATTTGTTTACAAGTTACAGTGCTTTAAGTGACGCTACTTTTGAGTTTTCAAAAAAAATTTATTCAAAGCAATTCCCTTTGCTGATTTATCATTGTTTTTTAATGAAAAAAAGACTGTTCAATGCCAGGAATGGCTTGAAAAACATTATTCGGACTCTGCTTCATCAAAAAGAAGCATTTGTTATTGGTATGCCGAATTCAAACGTGGTCGTACAGACACCGATGACATTCTATCTACTGGACGGCCAAATGATGCTGTTATTCCGGAAAACGTTGAAAAAACACTGAAAGTGAGGGAGATTGCTGACATTCTACAGATATCAGCAGGCAGTGTACACACCATAATACACGAACATTTGGGTATGAAAAAGATGTTTTCCAAATGGGTGCCGCGTTTGCTACTGGCTCTTCGCAGACCTCAAAAAGATGCTCCGTGGTAAGAGATTTGGCTCAAATGATGAAGTAATCGCCGAAACTAACGCCTATTTTGAAGGCAAAGAAAAATCGTTTTACAAAGGCGGTATCGAAAGATTGCAGAAGCGTTGGAATGATTGTATCTCGCTAAAAGGGGACTATGTTGATGAATAAAAATGAATTTTGACAAAAAAAATGTGTTTTAATTAGTTAGTCACACACATTATTGAACGAAGTGTTATTAGAATGCAAATTTTCATGAAAGTTGTATAAAACAATGCAAGCTATGAATAAAAAAATACCATTAACTGCACTTGATGTGTGAAATCAGCGCGTTCAGAAATGAACCGCTAAAAGAAGTTTTGCGTCAGACCTAAAATGTGCTATAAGTTATTAACAGCTCGGAAGTAAGACTAGATTCTATTAGAAAATATTTTACATTGTAAGACAATTCATACTAATGACTGTAATCAAGCTCTCATAAGCCTGATTTTCTTAATTATCACTGCCAAAAGATTTTATACGAGTAGTCTGTAGTATACAAATTATAACTTAACTTATTTTGTCACTGTGAACGAAAACTTAAAAACTTATTAGATCGTTGTGATATAAAGAAATGGTGAAAAATCACCAGAAACAGTATATTTGCTTACTGTCAAATTTTTAGCAGTATTTATAATTATACTTTAGCAGTATTATATTTATTATTTCTGTAGAAGAATGAAACGAACAATCTTTAAGGATATTCACGATCTCACAAAACGAGCTCGATAACCAAGTAACATAGTAACATCGCAAAGCGGCAAGAACAAAACACATTTCGAGTACGTGTGTTTAGTTGTTGGCACTTTGCAGAGCTACCATGTTAATGGATTACCGAAATCGTTACTACATCCTTAATGCTCTGAGTCTAGTGCTGTACTCAAATATCTACATAATAAAGGTTTAGTAATGAATGAAATCAAATACGAATTGGGTGATTTTCATTTTATCATAACCTTATGCGTGATTTTAGTCGATAATATGATCAAAAAAGAACGAGAATTAGGAAAAAAAAGCAAAATTTTAATTTTCAATAATTTTCTTTATTATCGCCTTCAAAGTACTCTCCTCTTGCGACAATACAAATCAACGCTTGATCCAATTTTCCATTCAAGTTTTATAGGCCTCCGAAGGTATGGCCTTCAGTTCACACAGCAAATTTTCTTTTATGGCCTCTATGGTCTCAAAACGCGTCTATGGTCTTCGCAATCGCAATTTGAGTCGGGGGAAAAGTACAAAATCACACGGGACCATATCTGGAGAGTACGGTGCTTGGTTGTTGATATTGGTGGCATAACGGCCAAATAATACTTCTTATTGACCGCTTGATCATTTGACTGTCCGGAAGAAATTCACTACACCACGAATACCGAAGAAAACAGTTAGCATAACCTTGATTTTGGACCGATTTTGGCGTTCTCTTTTCGGTTTCGGCTCACCTTCGAAGCACCATTCGATCGATTGTTGTTTGGTGGGCATGTCAAATTCATAGACCCATGTCTTATCAGCAGTTATGATGCGCTCGATGAATGTGGGGTCACTATCTGCGTTGGAAATCATCTCTTTGGCCACATCACAACTACGGTTTCTTTTAATGAAATTCAGCTTTTTTGCTACCAGCCGAGAAACGACGCGTTTCAAATCCAAAACATCAGTTAAAATGTATTCAGCCATTCCATATGAGATGCCCAACAACACTGCAATCTCTCTAATTGGTTTACAACGATTTTCCAACACGATCTGCTTCGCCGATTCAATGTTTTCTTCAGTAACAGATGTTATTGGGCGGGCAGGGATCTCATCATGGTCCAAGCTTGTACGACCGTCTTTGAACCTTTTAAACCATTCATATACCTTCTGCTCAAAAAGTATTTTGAATTTTGTTGTTTGTTAACTACTCCTTAAGTAATAGACCTTTTTCAAATTTTATTTTTGTTATGTTGATACACTCTTTCTTGACATATGGTACAAATTTGAGCGCTGTCTGTGAATTGGTTTGTTTACAGCAGCTGTTAATGTGAGACTACCTCAAGCGCATTTAGCGATTTTTACTATGGAAAATTCTTGTTGTACGCGATTTTTTGACCAAACATGGCACCACTGTCATCACTCAGGCACCATATTCGCCAGATTTGGATCCGTGCGACTTTTTCCTGTTTCCGAAACTCAAATTTTCCCTTCGTGGTAAATGTTTTGAGTCGATTGAATCGGTAAAAAAGAACTCGCTGAAGGAACTAAAAGCCATTCCTTCACGGGCCTACAAAAAGTGTATGGAAGATTGGGTTAAGCATTGGCATATGTGTATCGCTTCAGAAGGAGCATATTTTGAAGGAGATAAAATAAATTTGGAATAAAATTTAAATTTGTGTCTTTTATTTACAAAATCCGAGTACTTTTTGAGCATTCGTGGTTGCGACACACACAAATCACCAAAGGCCTTTTTTAACAATTTCAAAGTTTCGCTACACTTGAATCCATTTGCAACACAAAATTTGATGCACGCACGTTGTTCTAATTTTTGATCCACTATAAAAATCGCGACACGAAAATTTTTCGACTTCTTTGTATAGACGCCAAACAAAAACTAACCGTACGATATGCGTTAAACTTTGACAGAATGTGTATAATAAATTTACCGATTGGATAAGCGCGGGAATTCAAAAACAGGCCTCTCGTTCTTTTTTGATCACAAAGTGTTTTAGAAATTACCGGTAAAATTCACGATAGGTGACTGACAGACAAATGAAAGTCTACAAGCTTGTTGAAAAAAAAAATTACAAAACATATTAGCTTCAATTTAGCACAAACAATTAGAGGTGCAAATGCTATCAAAAAAATCAATGACACATTTCATAACTGTGGACTAGGAACGTAATAGTATGACGAGGATGCTTCAGTGTAATCCATTACTGTCTTCTGAATCAGACTTATACCAATATATATTGTAAAGTCGCTGGGAAAGATTTTACAAATAAGAGAAGATAAGGAATTAAGGCCAGATTTCATGAATTTGGACTGAAGTTTTTACTTCCTTTCTTATATAATCTCTATAAGTGGCTTGAAAGAATTATTTTTTTTCAAACCCCACTAAGTAGCTTCAGTAAAGAGTAAAATTAATAATAAACACCTGTATCGAGAACCTCAAAAACGCAATGGATTATGAGATTGAAAAATTCCAGAAACGGAGAAACTACATAATAATAATAAAAGAAAACCAGGGAATGCTCTTAGTGTTCTCAGAAACTAACTGTTAGTATAACACCATAAATAAGTTTGAATCTAATTAATTATAACAGTAGGACATACTGGGGCGTTAATGAGATATTGATAAGAACCTTAAGCAGTCTTATAAATAACATAATATTTAGTTCAATATTGTATATTACTCGGTGTAAATAAATTGCATTTATACAAGATACGTAGATCAATTTAAGACAATAGCACCAAAGATGTAGATATAAATATAGAGGTATTTATCACAGTCCGAAACGTTAATTGTATATTAATAAGAAATCATTAAGAAATCTTATAAACCACATGATTTAAACATTATCATTATCCACATATAGATTAATTACACAGATAATGTGTGAAGTACTATTTTTAATTTTATTTATCAATCTAATTCTCAACTTACCGTGCTACATACGGATGTTCGCAAGACATAGTTGAACGACCAGATGTTGTTGTCTCGAATGAGTACATCGAATCTATGTCATCATCAAAATCGCATAAAGGTGTGTCCGGTGTAACAGGTGGTGTCTTCGGTGTCTTAGGAGCTTCAATAATATCTGCAGCGACTTGAAGGATATCAAGTGACTTAATTTCTGTTAGAGTTTGGGTGCTAGTATCACTTTTGATAATGTTCAATTTGTTTGCTTCAACTCTAGTTGGTGTCTTCAACACTGATGGATGGTGCTTGTCAGATTTGTGATGGCTTTTTTGTTGTGGAGAGTGTGCTGTTGACGAGTTTTGTTTTGGTTCACTCTTTTGCTGTGTATGTGAAGGCAATATGACTTTAGATTTTGTTACGACAGAAGTCTTTGGAGTCTTTGGTGAAATGGCTGTTGGTATACCAGTTTGTGATGACACCTTCAATTGACTTCCAGCATTACTGCTGCTACCAATAGGAGAGACGGACTTATCCAGTGTTGTGGGACGCAAAATTGTAACTGCGGGAGTTTCACTTGTAACAGAATCTTCAATCACATTTGTACCTATACTGTCCGGTATTATATGTGGTAAGCCGTTCTGGTCAACACACTGTTATTGAAGAAAGGTTAAATTGAAAGTAAAAGATATTTTTAGTAAAACGCATTAATTAGGCAAATCTTGTAATTTCTTTTTTTTTATTTTTTTTTGAATTTTTTCTTTTTTTTTAGTTTTGTTGGGCTTGTTTTGGTTTCTCACTTCACAGTTGTGGTTATTTATACATGCTGAGTGTTTGGTATGCAAAAGGCATATAAAGCCAGGAGAAGGCATAAAGTGGAAAGTATTAGCTTATCTACCTTCGAGCACAGAATTGGATTTGGTCCGCTCAATTTTTTTTATATCTTCAAGAAGCCGATCGCTTTTTTAATGCTCGAGTTAAGTTTGTAATTCGCGCATTTGCTTAAAATTTATTGTTTAAGCTGTTGTTGTTATTGCTGTAGTAGTAGTTGTTGTTGTTGCTGTTCGATGCGAAACTATTTGCGCAAGTTATTCATGCATATTTATGCTATATGAACTACTATTTTAACTAAACTCCTCAGCATATTTAAGTGTTGTTATGGCAAACAGTAATCTTGTACTTCGCAATGTAGTACCAATCAACCAACCAAGCATCAAACCAGCTAACCATCTATTCAACTCAGCCATCCAAATAAACTATCTAACTAACTAGCCAACTAAATCTGTAATAATTTTAATTTTTGTGGTCAATTTTCCACTTACTGCGCGTAGCAGGCGTTCACCATAATTTTTTTCCATACAAATTTTATGTCTAAGTTTGAGATATGCTTAGAGGCGTATCTGAAGACGATTTGCATGGAATGTGAATGCTGAAACAATCGCACACAAAAAAAAATTAAGTTAGAGTAATACAAATATTTACATCAGTTACTAATAATGCTTGCAGGTCTTTTACTGATCCTACTGACTATGTTAGTATGCTACAATTTGTGAAAACTGTTGCGAAAATTCTTGGCTTGCAATCCATTTTCATTGCAAGGTGCACGAAAATCACAGATTGTACGAACATGCAATTAACAACAACAAAATATACGCACAAAGTTTTGTGCAATTGCTTGCAATCTTCTTATACTAAAACCTACATATGTATACCATATATAATATTTGCTTACAAAAAATGGCAGAAATCAGCTGTTTTGACATTTGTTGCTTCTCATTTTTAAATTTAAGTTTGGTAGCGAAAGGAAAGTTAGTTAAAATATTAAATTTTGGTTATTTAAAATTTTCAAATTATTTTCAGATAAAAATGGAAAACAGAGGACCAGCAACTAAAAGGAAAAGAAGCAGAATTTATATGTTATATATTAGAACCTTCAGTCAGAATATTAAAAACACTATTTTCAATTAAAATATCTACACATTTTTGTATTTCACTTGTTTGCGGCATTATTATACTTCTATTTTTCTTTGCTCAATGTGATACGGCTGCAAAAACAGCTGATTTAGTTTGATGATGCAATTCTGCAACAGAGGTGTTCTCGCACTCGTACAGTTTTTGTATAGCATTCTTGCATTTCGTGCTCCTTGCAAGAGACAATGAATACCCCTAATGTAAGAAAATAAATTAGGAAAAGTTTTACGACTTAAAACCAAAAGTGGTTCATTCGTAAAAAGGGGAATGGTTACTAACATTTTAATAAATTTCGTATAAAATTATTTGGAACGGTCGTCAGAGGAAAAAAACGTAAGAAGTGTCTCTGAGGAATCGATCTACAAGTGCAAGGATTACTATCGATGAAAAAAGTAATTTCAATATAAGCCAGCAAGGGATTGTTAGGGCTGCTAGTCTTAAAATTCATATTAATCCTAACATATGATGACAGGGCTTCAGCTGACTGTAAGCAAATATCGATACTTATATTGAACTTAGAACAAAGTCAATTTTCTGTGCAATTCGCTTGAATTGAAATTGAAACTGTTTGATGTCTATAAAAATATTTTTTGTTTGACATATGACGCATTGGCCCATCTTAGTAATTACTATTTGAGTAAAATTATGAGTACAGTTTCCAAAAAACATGGGAAACATATTTTAAAATTGTCCTATATTCGGTCAAAGTAGATTGCAATATAATCAAATCTGTTGAAAGTATATAAAAAGTAAAGATACTCTCTCGCATTACCGAGAGTGCTTAGTTTGTTTAAGTTCGTTTGGAAATTCGCCGTTTCTCACTCTGATAACTTTATCGCAAGAGTGCAAATACTAAAATAATCTAAAGTGAAAATCAACCACTTTGAAGTTTTATACCACCTTCTTACTAGTTACAAAAAATAACTCGACGTTTAGTTGCATTATAAACTGAGTTCAAAAAAATGTAATGTTCCCAATTTCGATTTACGGAACGCTGTTAAAGCGAATCGAAAGCAAACCATATCTGTAGCTTGTATGAAATTGTTTAAGTGCTAAAAATGATTAAGTTTGAAGTGTGATGCAATGTGATTATGTTTTTGAGGGAACTAAACTAGAATTAATATCCTAGTATACTATTATTGCTTGGAAAGTTCTATTACTTGTGCTTAAGTGGACTTTGGAATAATGCGGCATTAATACTGGCCGAAAATGGCTTATTTTGGTCAAAAATCGAAAATGAGAAGGGAATGGCTCATTCGCGCTTGAAATTTTGTATGCAAGAATGAGCCATTCGCATCACATTCTGTATGAATGCGTCCCAACGACGTTCGCATGAGTTCCAAATATGTTCCAAAATAAAAGCTCTTCATAGCATTTTGACAGTTTGAGAAAGTTGTTTTTAACATATTTACAAAAATAGGTAAACAAATGTTTGGTTTTCTCAATGTTTGCATTTTCTCGAAAACGATGCACCTCTTTTTAGAACTTTCCAAAAAGTATTTAATCAAAGCTAGGAATATGTTTTCAGTATATATTTTAAGGTTTGAAGGTTTATTTAGTTTTCATGCAAAATTTTTTTTGGCACAGGCCAAAAATCAAATCAACAGGCAAGTTGAAAAATAAGCAGTTTGAAATTAGGACAAACGAATTATAACGAATGTAAACACTTTCAAATGGCTCATTCAAAACTATAAAATAAAAAAACATTAGAGTGGATTGATTAATCAGAATAATGTATTTCATCATATCAATTCTTGACCAATCACAAAATTTAAATGGATCTGAATGGACAGATTATCATTTTGAAGTCTGCAATAAATTTTATTATTCACGTTTTTTAACCTCTCGTTAAGTAAAAAAATCAACTACTTTCTTGATAGCATACAAGTGATCTAGGACTGAGGAAAGTACTAAGGTCATAGATAAGACCCTGTAATTCTAAAATAATGTAATTATGGTTCTTAATTGAAAATAGTTGTCAAAAAAAGAAACTCAATGTATATTGATAAAATTGTCTTGTCAATGAAATAAAATATTAATTTTGTTTGATATCCTAAGTACTTTTTGCCTGCCAAATTTTATATTAAAAATTATTTGAAAAAATTTCGATAAAATATTTTTACATATATTAACCATATATATATATACATATATTAATTTCAGTTGAGGTTCGAAAATTCACAAAAAACAAATATAGAGCAAAAATTTCAACGGCTTATGCGGTTAATTAGTTTCTCTATAATTTGAATGGCATCAATTAACAAGGGAAATAATAGTAGTAGTAAGTAAGTACAGATAATCATTAATACCATATACATACAACAAAAAAATTGCTTTCTATGAAGTTAAGATAAAACAATTTTAAAAACGAAGTCACTGACCAGAGAAGCCGTAACGTGACAAGTACTACCAGCGCAGTAATTATTTTGTTATGAGCGTTTTGTCGAGACTGGCTGCCTAATCAAGTTTTTATGATGTCTTACAACTTTATATCAAAAGGCTGAAAACCGTTATAAAATAAACAAGAAATAGTAAAAAATATGTAATTAATGAGTTTTTTGCTTCATTAAAATATGAATAGTATTCTTCATTGCTCCATTGCTCCATTGCTTTTTTTCCATTGCGTAAAATTTAACTACAAAAGCTAACAGAGAGGAAAACTAGTAATTTGTTCTTCAAATAAACCAGAAAATAAAGAAATCATTACTGGGATTTCTTTATCACTTTATGATGTCCTAGATTGCCCATTTCATAAATTGATACTGGTAATAATCACACAAATTCATACATTAACTTTAATTCAACTATTTAATTAAAAATATTAAGTGAAGGGAGACAAGCTAACATGTTGGAACTGTAAAATACTTCTTAACTTCTTAAGCTGTAATAATATTTAAGACTTTATTATAAAAGAATCCTTGAACTTAAACACAGCTTACCATTAGTGGAGGGATTATTTCAGGTAATCCACTCAATTCTGTTGTGGTTTAAAATGTTATAATGATTGGTGCGGACAAGGATGGTAGGGGCGTAATAGTAGAACAAAGACGCCATGTCTTTATAAAGTTTTATAACAAAATGATAGCATGTTCCCACATTTAAAACAGATCTTGCCCCCTTCTCACTTGGCTATTTTCAAACTGTGTCTCAAAATGTGGCTCAAAATGTGGCCCAAATGACAAATCTCGCTTGATATTTTTACTCTTTACTGATCACCATAAACACCAAAAAGTAATAATTATAAATAATAATAATTATGTACATGTGTATATAAGTAAGTCAACTATTAATCTGTATTTCATTATATGTACATTTGTGGATATAAACGAGTTTTTTTTTAAAGATTTTTAGAGAAATGTATTTAAAGACAGATACAAATCCTATAAATTAGTTGTAAACCTGTTAAACATAATTAGATTAAAATTTTGGGAATACGTTAACTCTTTAGTATATAAGTTATAGGATTAAGAGCAAGTTACTCGCTAGTGACAGACTGATATAAGTTGCTTTATCTCCATATAAAAAAATCAATTAGAAAAATCATGAGGGTATTATACTGTCAGATTTCTAACGTTTTAATAATAATATCCCTCCAATAAAAATTAACGTCAAACAAATATATTTTAAGTACAAAAAACGAACGATACTCAAAACACATACAGAAGGAATAAGGAATCTATAC